AACCTACAAGTGTTCGTGGCCTGCTGGATGTGATCCTCTGCATCTACATTGATTTTTTTGGACCACTAAACTACTCAAATTCACACAACAACATCATTAAGAATACTCAAATCAAATCCTAGAACATTCGACTCTAATGGCATCGATTATTTTTGTTCTGTACATAGAGTCGCATGATACAACATTCCAAACACGTTTAAATTACATCTCGTGACAGGTCGTGTACCAATATACCGTGTATTGTTCAATAAATCCACCATGATGATTAGGCAACGCGTTTCGCTGCGAAATATCGCGACATTTCGTTTTAGCGAAAACTCAACGAGCCTCGGAATTTTAATGAAAGATATCGTCATTCGAGGAAAACGTTAGCTTCGCCAGTCAAAATGAAAAACAAACACATATAATTTGATTGTATTGCTAAGTACTTTCGTGTTCTGTTTTTCTGATGTTCGTGACAGAATTGAATTATTTATGTCGTTCGCGACTTTCAATTACAGGACTGATTTATGTTTGATTGCTTTATTTCTTCTAGGTTGTTCACGGAGTGTTAAAATTACGCCTGTATAATATTACTTGATTTGATTCTGATCTAAATATATGACTGAGACCATTGTTTGTATTTAAAAAAAAAAATATCTATCCTAAATAATAGACAATTATTTGTAAATTATTTAGGACTAGCTTTTGCCCGCGACTTCGTTCGCGTAAAATAGTTCACAAATAAAGCTTTATTGTAGAACAAATTTGGTTAGCATAAAAAACGTTATAGTGAGCCAACCTTAACATATAGACATATGCTGTCATGGACTTTTTTTTTATCTTTTAAAGGGGAACAATTCTGTCATACATTATTTTAGCGAAACTTTAACCGTTTCTGCAGCGCTTGTATTCGTTTTGGCGTGATGTACTGGTGGTAGGACCTCTTGTGAGTCCGCGCGGGTAGGTACCACCACCCTGCCTATTTCTGCCGTGAAGCAGTAATGCGTTTTGGTTTGAGGGGTGGGGCAGCCGTTGTAACTATACTGAGATCTTAGAACTTATATCTCAAGGTAGGTGGCGCACTTACGTTGTAGATGTCCATGGGCTCCAGTAACCACTTAACACCAGGTGGGCTGTGAGCTCGTCCATACATCTAAGCAATAAAAAAAATCAAAAAAAATGTTAGCCTATAGCCTTTCTCGATAAATGGGTTATCTAACACTGAAAGAATTTTCCTAATCGGACTAGTAGTTCCTGAGATTAGCACTTTCAAACAAACAAACTCTTCAGCTTTATAATATTAGTATAGATGTACAGAGAGTGTGTCCCCTGTCACTATTATCAATTTTTTGCTCTTAATAATTCAAGTGAATTTAAGACAGATAATACGTGATAACATGTTCACTGCTGTTTCTTCTTAAGCCTCAATTGCAAAAAGAAAAAACAAAGTGCGCGAGGAATGTCGAGAAAAAACGCATTACACTTATTTTTACTTCAAAGGAATCACGCATGATGTATTGAACAGTACAATTACCAATAGTTCAATACTAATTCTTTGCGTAATTACTGGTGGTAGGACCTCTTGTGAGTCCGCACGGGTAGGTACCACCACCCTGCCTATTTCTGCCGTTAAGCAGTTATGCGCTTCGGTTCGTAGGGTGGGGCAGCCGTTGTAACTATACTTGAGACCTTAGAACTTATATCTCAAGGTGGGTGGCGCATTTACGTTTTAGATGTCTATGGGCTCTAGTAACCACTTAACACCAAGTGGGCTGTGAGCTCGTTTACCCATCTAAGCAATAAAAAGAAACTATTATTTTTTAATATTTCTATACTATTACTTCATTTAAATAGGGGGGGGGGGGAGGCATTGCGTGGCGCAGCCTGAAATGATAGCATTCTTGCAGTTGTTATTTAACCATAACACCAGAACAACTCTATGCTCGTTTCTCTGTCTGCGTCAATCAAAAGTAAGGAAAACCAGAAGTAACAATAAAAAATAATAATAGCGAACTAAAATAAAAACTAAAAATACTAGGAATTATGACATAACGTGTCTAACAATGCAGCATTATTTTTATACTGTTTTATTAGACCGTAGGCCTACGGTGCTGTGGTACCTGCGGTGTGGTACGGTGTTACCTACAGTGCTACCCATTTATATCTACTTAAAAGCGTCTTATCGGGTTCGAAGGCCGAGATAGCCGTTATATTCAATCGAGACTTAAGCCTCGTGTCTCAAATCGATGGTGACAATCACGTTGTATTCAAGTTCAACCAAGTTCAATCAAGTTTAATCGGTCTTCGGTAACAACTCAACATCAACTATCAACTATCAATCCTAACCTCATCTTGATATGTAATAAAAAAAACAAGTACTGTTTTCTTCCGACTGAATGTTCTGATATTTTGAATGCAAATTACCATTGTTCGGGGCGTGCAATGCGGAATTGTGATGATTTCAGAACAACCTTAATCTTGCTTCGTCAAGGTGCCGGAGCTAACAAAATAATGTTCTGTGCAAATAACATGTAACTATATTTAGATGGATTTAGATACGCTAATGTAGTTCGTGTATAAAAAATGATTTGCAATTGCATTATTATATTAAATTTATATTTGATTCAATCACGAATCGTAAAATAAATAAAACGATCAATGAATATTAATAAATACTGTAGACTAAAGATTGTTAATAGACATATTAAGCCGTATTTGGTAATACACACGGAATAGATAAATAAGGTTATTTATCTATATATAAGGTATAAATAAGGTTATTTGTCTATTCCGTGGTAATACATATATCTATAACTTCAGTGTCTTCTGTTAAACATTTCAAGTTGAAGTCAGTGCAGTATAAAAACATATTCAAGTAACTTTCTACACACGAATAGATTCGTAAATCGATTCTGGAAGCAGACAAATTTTATTGCAAACCGAATAAAGTAAAAGTAATATTGAGAATGTGAAAAATCAATGAAGTAAATTGATTCTAAACTTCTTCTCCAATCGAAAACCCATTTAGAAACTGAATTAATTCATTAATTCAATTGCAGTTGAATCGCGACCATACATCTATTCATCTGTACGTCACTATCTAGGCATGTAAATCTTGTTTAACTACAAACAAACTAATGAGATTCGTTTTTGTAATGCAGTTTAAGCTTAATTATTATTATATTTTTTTATTGCTTAGATGGGTGGACGAGCTCACAGCCCACCTGGTGTTAAGTGGTTACTGGAGCCCATAGACATCCACAACGTAAATGCGCCACCCACCTTGAGATACAAGTTCTAAGGTCTCAAGTATAGTTATAACGGCTGCCCCACCCTTCAAGTCGAAACGCATTACTGCTTCACGACAGAAATAGGCAGGGTGGTGGTACCCACCCGCGCGGACTCACAAGAGGTCCTACCACCAGTAAAAAAAATTAATTTTTCTTTTGATGGGAATAACTGTTGTTGACCCATAACAACTGAAACGTGAGCTCAAAGAGCCTTCGGGCGTGTAAGACACCCTGAGAAACGCGCAAGGTGAGATTTCCAACGGTAAGTGTTCACGCGCTCCTCGATTGAATCACGGTGGGCGAACAATTATTGCATTGTGTGATTGGTTATTATTTGGCAGTCGAGGACAAAATGCGCGTGCGCTATTTGACCCCGCGCACGGCTCCGCGTTGTTCATTAAAAAGCAAAGACTTTTAACGATGCTGAAAAAAATTTGATACAAGGAGTTTTTTTGCATGTATTTCGTTAAAAGTGTTAGTTATATTTGTTGAAAAAATTATCTCCAATCATAGTGGTACATAATGCAATTTTTGTTAAAATAAATTGTCAGACATATACCTAAATAACGATTTTTAACGATGCTGTAAAAAATTAGATACAAGGAGGTTTTTTTTGCATGCGTTTCGCTAAAAATTTTAGGTATATTTGTTGAAAAAATTATCTCCAATCATAGTGGTAGTTAATGCAATTGTTGTTAAGGTAAAATAACAGACATATAAATAACGATTTTTGTGGATAAAACCCTCCATGTCACACTTAGTGAACATTAGGTCACACTCACAAACAGACAATGATTACATAGTTAAATTGTAACCTAATCATGAAAGACAATTGAATAACGTAAAATGAAAAATAACGTAAAATGAATTCATCAAATAATATTCAAATAAGATTGTAACAAAAAATGTATCATCGACTGTAAGTCGGTTTGAATAAAGCCTACACTAAGCCAACCGGTCTAGTGACATTCGTCGACTTATCAACTTTAACATTTTCAATCACTTCAATGAAACTGATGACCCCACCTATTTCGTCACACCCTATAAAAATGCCTTTACGGTGCCAAATTATTCGCAGTCTCACTAAACGACAATGACGCTTGCGACTTCTAAAAGTCTGTATAAGAAATTACGCAAGATATTTGACCTTTAAAAGGATTTCGCTGTCAAAAAAGTTGTGTATTTGCTTGTTGTATACATAGACGTGTATACATACAAAAGATTACTTTAAGCTAGTTTTGAATGACTAGCATGAATTCTAAATTGAAAATTGTAATTTTATATTTGATTTAAGGAAACATTTCAAATGGTGTTCGTTTTAATTATTTACATGAATCTAACTACAAAAGGTTGTTTTCAAATATTCCGAATTCTCGATGATGATAGGGAAGTTGTATTTTTGTAAAATAGCCTTCACCGAGTCCAAAATATTAACTTCAAACTCTCTAAGCTTTACCTACTGATAAGTCACGACACTTCAACTAGGCAAGTGGGTCAAATCTTCTGTTTCAAAACGTAACATTTCGCAATTTCGATGAGAAAAATCAAAATCTTTATCCGTGTTGAATTTTTAATGTACATATTTTATTGTGAATTAATTAAATTAATACTTTTTTAGCAATACAATTTTACCATAAATATACTGTTTTTTTTAATTTATTTGTCTTTGTATTCCGTGATTACGTAGAACACTTGAGTAAACTAAAATTATTCTGTTTACAGGTAATCGCTTGCACTTGCATGGGATCTGTGCACTGTTGCTATGAGGTGAGGGTGATGTGGACAGGATGCGGGTCTCAGAAATCGCTATCGACTAGCCGACAGGGCCTTGTTGCTGCTTTTGTACTGAGGCCGAGGTGAGTCACGCAGCACCACAAAACCGAAACATTCAAAAGTCACCCATTCAAAGGCCCCAAGCTGGGATTTTCTCTTGTGTTACGAGTATCGAAAATACATATGTGAAATTAAAATAATAACACCCAAAGTTCGAGTATCAAGCGCTTTCAATAAAGACATTTATTCCGACCGGATATTGGCCCAAAAACCCCTTTCGCAAGAGTCAAGGTCACGATGTATCTATAACCCAATCGCGAGTCAAAAACAGTGATATAGACCTCAATCATCTATTATCTAAATGTATTTTATTTCTTGAATCTCCATAGTTTTGAATTCAAATAAGGAATTCTGAATTTTTAAGATCTCGTAATATATTTCTGCTATATTATACTACCTTACGTCGGTCCTCCCAACAAATGGGAATGGATCAATGGTTTCCGACGCAAATACAATCAAATTTACTGTGCGTACTTACAAAGCAATTATCAGTAAAATCAAGGCTACATTGAGTTCAGGGTAGGAGGAACTTGCAACTCTCCATTATTTTCTCCAACCCAAGTTCGGCCTCAGCCCAACAGCATCCTCTTTAGGATACACGAACTGCTATTACGGATGATTTAAGACGTTTTATAACAGTAGATGACCGACGCCACCTACCCGTATGTATCCCTCTGAGGCTAGATAATAATGAAGCCATTAAATATATAACATGACATTCAATAAAGCTCTTCAAAGTAAATAATAAAAGAGTACATCCTACACAGTTGAAAGGTGAGTCAGTTTAGAAAGTGGGTTTACTGTTTGCGATAATAGATAATTCAAACATATTCGACACGACAGGTCCAATCACCGTTCAGTTTTGTCTGAAACTGTCATCTGAAGTTGTGAACAAAAAATGTTTGCCCTCATTTGTTCGAGTGAAACTTCACCACGTTTGTATGCCAAGGCTACTGGACAAATTGATATTACATCTAGTGAGAGTTTATAGCTGAACCTGCGTTCACAGTCTTGGCATTTGTCGCGTTTACGTGACTTGGACATTTAATAAAATCATTTGCAGATTTCAAATCCTCTGAAGCCAGCAAACAATATTTAAATGCCTAGATAGTGACGTACAGATAAATAGATGTGTGGATGGAATTAGTTCAGTCTCTAAATGGGTATTCGATTGGAGAAGAAATTTAAAATCATTTTTCTTCATTGATTTTTCACATTTCTCTTATCTCTCATTATTTTTACTTTATTCGGTTTGCAATAAAATTTGTCTGCTCCCAAAATCGGTTTTCGAATCTATTCGTGTGTAGAAAGTTACTTGAAAATATTTTTATACTGCACTGACTTCAACATGAAATGTTTAACACAAGACACTGAAGTTCTAGATAACATGTATCTGAAATGTTCAAAGCTGCCGTAAATACGTTTACTGCTATTAAGGGCTTGGCACAGTGTAAATTAACTTGGAATCTAAAATAACCGTATGAAACATTCCGAGTTGATGGGTCAGCGAGCCGCCGCGCCGGACGCTCCGATCTAAAATTAGTTTCAGTCACTGACGTCTTTTTGATAAACCGCTCAGTGCATTGGCGTGCAATGACGCTTCCTCTGCACTTATTAAAACTGACTCACTTTATGCGTTTCAAGTGTAAAATGTAACTTAGTATTCTTTCGATGCTTTGCAGTACTTTTGTATACCTCAAAGATGTTCGATAAGATCTTTAGATAGCTTAAAAGTCGTGACATCAATGTATTCTTCAAAATTATTTGTCCATTCATTCACATTAGAACCCAGTTGATTGTAGAACGAATTCCTGATTTAAAATAAGCCTACCCAGACGCTGAATATATTTCAGTAATCGGTACAATAAATAAATTAAGCGATCTAAGTTTAAATGAATGTAATGATATATTTTGATGTTTAATCAAAACATGCTATAATGTATTCGATAAACTAAAAGCAAATATGTTTGTATATGAAAAGACTATTGACAATATAAATGTAGCTGTGTAAATGGATCACAATACAAAGAGACGCTGGTTACGGGACTTGTATTCTTTAGATAATTGAAAAGTTTTTGTTAAATGTCTCTATAGTTCACGTAACGTTTGTCAATTTTGGCTATTGTACATTAAATGGGACGTTATTGAGCTATTCACGTGAACAAGCGTTTCGTTACATGAGCATCCACTTAATAAAACGTTTCTCAAAACCTTTTGTGACCAACTCGTTAGACATTTAATTGCCACACTTTCGGCCCGTACAAGCTTTTGCACAACGTACGTATAGTGTATGGATACGTATAATTTACGTACAGTAATAGTGAAGGTACTGTTGAAAAATATCCTGTCTTTAAAATGTTATAGTGAAACAGTAGAGCTCTTGGACTATCTAGTGCAACGGTTCCCAAACTTATTTTGTCTACTGCCCACTTTGAGAATAAATTATTTTTTAACGCCCCCATTTTTTCACCTACTTAGGAACCACTGAAGTGAGAGTCAGTCGGTGTCTAAGAGTCCTCCTAGATGAAATTACAAATCGCCTCCCCGACCTCTACAGAACGCCCCCATTTTTTTCTGGGTCTCTTACCGCCCCCCTTGGGTCCTCCAGCGCCCACAAGGGGGCGTTATCACCCACTTTGGGAAAGGCTGATCTAGTGCTTACCAGAGCTCATAAATAAACATAACGTGAATACCATGACCTTGAATGAACGAGTTTACTGCTTACCTAGCGTTAAGTAATTACCATGGCTTAAAGACATCATTACGTTACTACCAACACACATCTTGGGACATGATGTAGCAGAATGTTGATAACTAATCTTGGAGCCGTATACCAATAATAGGCCAAAGTATCAATTATTTTGTTTGCAAACGGATAAATGTGCACAATATATTCTGCACTTGGTTATTTAATCGGCTTAGTTTTTGAGTTGTGTATATATTCTGGACTTGATTACTCAATCAGCTTAGTTCTTGTGGATACTGGACTAGGGCCGTGCGGCTATGCTGTATAAAGGATTGTAGATACAAATTCTTTTAATCAAATTCATAGTTATTGCGACAGATTCGCGAACGACCTTCACAATAAAATTGTAGCATCGTATTAAAAAACCGAACACGTAATAAAAAATGAAACAATTTTTATCCTTTTTTCTTTTTATATTTATCTATTTTTAATCTCGCGTCACTAACGTCGTCATTATCGACTACTCCAAGAATACTTTACAGATTTTTTTATTGCTTAGATGGGTGGACGTGCTCACAGCCCATCTGATGTTAAGTGGTTACTGAAACCCATAGACATCTACGACGTAAATGCGCCACCCACCTTGAGATATAATTTTTAAGGTCTCAAGTATAGTTAGAACGGCAGCCCCACCCTTCAAACCGAAACGCATTACTGCTTCACGGCATAAATAGGCAGGGCGGTGGTAGGTACCTCGCGCGGACTTACAATAGGTCCTACCACAAGTAAAATTTCGTGAGGTCTTCCGTGACTACAAAAACTGTGAAGTATTATTAAAATGTAGTTTATCTAAATATATAAATTCCTGTAATCTATGACGGTAGGCCATATTTACAGCCAACCGGCAAGTAATACTGCCTTTATTTTATACACGAGGCATTCATGTGTGACGCATCTCAGGTTTCCTACCCGCTATTTTAATTTACTTAAATTAAACTTTAAGTCGAAGTTTAATTATGTATTTCACGTAATCACAAAAAGTAAACGATTTATTATAATAATCAACGCCGCACACACTATGGCTATTGTCTTTACTATTGTTCGTACTTTTCAAATACCGTAAAAATATCTGCAAGAAAAAAGTAAAGATATTTTTTTTCTTTTTCAAAATTGAAATCAAGATTAAACTATCACAAGCGCTTGGCTTGAGTGCTTCGTTTGAGCTTACTAAAAGTCAACATATCTGTACAATTATGATAACGAGTTAACGCAATTGATTGCAATATCAACATCATCACCATCTAAAACATTGGCTCACAAGACGAATTTTACTAATGAGTACACTTAAATATTGACGACTATGCCGATTCAAACAACATTGTCACGATCTGTTTCAAAATAATTAACGATTAAACAACACATAATTTATATTCAATACTACATGTACGATTGAAATATGCAACCTTGAGGGAAGTGAGCCTACTTATTTGGTAGCTAAAATGGGCAGTCGAGTTTACGGTTCACCTAACGTTAACATTAAGCGGTAACCACATAAACTTAAAAGTCTTCCTTTGAGAATTGAATGTTATAACATTTACAAATGCTTTGCTAAACAGATATTTTATATTTCAAGTCGAAACACACGAATTATGCGTGCCAAAAATAGGAAAACGAAGTGAGCTTGTTCTCTCCCAATACTCTAGATTAGGAGATAACAAATTTAGGAGTCAATATGAAAATACATTATATTGCTACCAGTAACATTGAATAATAGTAGCTAGACGGCACCTGTGTCATATATCTTCTAAATCAAAGCCTCCTTTCAAAGCTTTCACCTGGATTCAAAGGCATCTTCACTCCGAGATCTAGCTATTTCGAAAAAACATATTGATTTAATTAACAAATATCTGACAAATTATCGTCAATAATAACGACAAAAAAGCACAAAAACAAGACATTTTTATAGCAAGAGTTAATAGAAAATCTCATTACATTCCAGTTAAATGTACAATTATTTACTTAAGCCTGTCGAAATGAATAAATTAGGAAAATACGTCACGTAATAACTGTACTGTAATTAGTCAAGACTTACAACCTAGTTACCTACTTCCAGTAAAAGCTTTCTCTAACCTGATAGCGGTACGATATAAAAAGTAAAGCTCAATTAACTGTATCAAAATTGGATTAAAATTAAACAAAACTAAATTTGATTTTCGTCTTGTGTTCCTTGAACATTTTATTATTATCTAAGGCAGAACTTTCAAGGACAGTGTCTAATCAAGCCTCTGGTTGCCACTAATAACTAACAACTACACGTCATAATAGATAGTACTTGGC